GCATATCAGACCTCGCCCTGAACGCGTGCAGCTGCGCAAGTGTAGCTGCTAACATATCACCGCCGCAGGGGCCCACTCTGATGGCTGCAAGCGTCGGCTTAAGGTAGCGCTGAACGTCTGCAACAAGCGCGCACTCTCATGCGCGAGCACTTTGTTACCGGACACCCGGTACGCCGTCAGAGACGGCGGCGAGCCTGCGGAGGGCTCGCGAGATGAGCGATCTTCCCAATACTACACTGCTGCTTTCTGCTCCTGATCTGATCTTCCTCAGCCTTCTCCCCCACCTCCACCTCCTCTCTTCCTCCTCTTATTACGATGCTTTTCCACCTCCTCGACCTCCTCACCCTCCTTAGCTTTCTGTCTCCTTCTTCTCTTCCTCGCCTTTCTGGCCACCTCCTCAGCCTCCTCACTCTCCCCTTCCTCTTCCTCCTCATTCTCTCCCTCCTCCTCCTCCTCAGCGAAGACGGTTCTCGTCCTCCTGGGCCTCTTTGCCTGCTCTCCCTCGGCGCCCGTGCGGCGATGTCTCTGATGCAGGGTGCATTGCCGGACGCTGGCCATGTAGTGGATCCGCTGTTTGAACTCCCCCACCTCCCGCGCAGTCTCATGCCGCATCACGTGCTGCGGAGTGGCGCTCACAAGCCGTGAAACGAGGTCGTAGACAGCTGGCCTGGTGGTCCTGCCAATCCTCGCTCTCCGCGTCCAATCCTCCCCCTCCTCGAATAATATTGACAGGCCCAAGAGTCTGGCAGCAATCCAGCTCGACGCTGACGGGAGGAGGCCGTGCTACCCGCTGGCTGTATCATGTTCATTTTTTCTAAATTAAAATAAAAAAAACTGGCCTAAGTATGGGCTGCGGGGCACGTCCTCTAAGACCTGCCTTGAGCTAATTGCTCCCTGTGCGCTGGGCAATCTCCTGCTCCGCAGCGCCGGCCCAGCGCGCGCGGGCCACGGCGGAGCCATCGCGCAGCACAGCCTTGGGCTGTCTACCTACATCCGAAATCAGGCTACCTAAAAGTTCCGCGACCTCGCTCCAGGAAGCGTTACTGGGGTGGGTGATATCCTCATCCCCCTCATTCCTGTCGAACGAGGAGGGGGGGGGGAGGGGATGGTAGGACATTGAAGGGCCCAGGCCTCTCCGAAGGCGGGGGGCAGGTCCCAGACAACGGGGAAGTGCGGCTTGGCATCCCAATCGAAATCGACATCGATAGCTCTCACTGCGTTAGCGAGTTGCTGCTCGACAATGAACATATATATATATACATATTACTATGTTGCTCGCCGCGCATGCGCCCATCGAGCATGTTGGTGCAAACAGCTGGCCTTTGATAAAGGCGCAGTACTCCGAGTACTCAAGCTGGTCTTGAGTAAGATTGAAGTCGCCTGCAATGATATACTGCATCCGAGAAACCTTGACCATATCAAACACGGCCTCCAGGATCGCGACGTTTTCTGGCGAGAATCCTTGACTCACGTGCCCGTGGAGAGACGTGCAGAGGATGCCCGAGGTCTGGGGGGAACTCCACAACGACTCCAAGGACTCGATGAGGTACCAAAACTCCCCCAGGTGGCCCCACGGGCTCCTCTAAGGTGTAGCATCCAAGATCGTCGGCAACGAAGATGGCGACCCCAGCAGACGTACCTATCTCCCCTACACGACTCGCAGACGGGGCAAAATTGGCAGTGGCAACTGACGGGGCCCAACAACTCTTCCAGCCGTGCCGTATGGCCCAATCCGAGGCCTCGGCGGTACTTAAATCCGAGACGAGATGAACCTCCCGAGCAAACGAAACTTTGGTGGGACCCCACGCAAGCTCAAGGAGGCGCTTCTTGAGGGCTCCCCAAGAGGACCCGTTAAAGGTCTCAAGGCGGGTGCGCTTGGGAGAGGAGGGATGGAGGGAAGAGGAAGTAGCCTTCCCTGCAGCGGCTGCCGCTGGGAATGGCCCGTGCAAAGCTGGCTGATTGTCAGCCTCAGTCGGGGCAGCGCTGGTGGTCACCGTGACACTGCGCTTGGCCGATGCTGCCCTGGCCCCCGTTGTGGAATGGCGGCCGTCACCCGTGCGGTGCATGGCCGCGGCCTGAACCAGGCCCTTTGCCTGGCTGGGAGGCAAGCTGCCGAGCGGCAGCTGTCTGCTGGCCCTGGCACTTGGCCCGCGCCTCCCGTTGTGTTTCGAGCTCTTCCTTCGGCGCGTGTTTGGCGAGAGCCTCCATCTCCGTCTTGAAAAATTCGGAATCAAACGTGGGGGTGTCCGTAATCGATGTCGATGGCGGTGGCGAACTGCTGGCTTTCTCCGGCAGCGCTCCCACCATGTTGGACATCTCTTCAATGAACGTATGGAACTCTGCGTTGCCCACGAACTTCGTCTTGGCCTCCGCGGTCTTGGCCTTGGATGCCTTGGTGAACTCCGCGAGCGAGCCTGGACCTTCATCTGGCGCGGTGTCCACCCAGACCGTCTTGGCATCCTGCTCCTCGCGCTTCTGATCCTCCTGGGCCTGCTCGAGCCTCTGCTGCTGCTCTTGCATGGCCTTGTCGTTGGCTTCGAGCTGCGCGTACAGCTCCTCCTTGGCCTTGTACAATTCTGCAATCTGCATCTTGATCTTGTCAACCTTCTCGGCCGCCCGCTGCACCCGTGTGTGGTACCGCGCCATGCGCTGCGCTGGCGGCAGGTTGGCCGCTTGCGTGGCTCGAGCCGCCACCAAGTCGGCCCTTGCCTGCTGCAGCTTGGTGGCCACGTCTGGCATGCCTGTCGGATCCATCTGCTGGTAGGTATTGACGAGCAGCTCGAGTTGAACAATCCTCTTGTCGTCTGAGTCGGCACCCTCTGCGGCCTGAGTGGCCGCTGCGTCCTTGCCCTTGCCTGTGACGCGGGTGCCTTTGCCGTTGCCTGGCGGTGGGCCATTGGCTGGTACGCTTGCCGGCCTCGACTGGGTCGTGGCGGCAGCTGCTGTGATGTTGGCGGTGACCTGCTTGGCGATGGCGTCCAGCTGCTGTTGCGTGAGCCCTGGCTGACGAGCTCCACCCACGCCTCCATTGCCACCGTTGTCCTTGCCACCCCCTTGCGGCTGAAGCCGCTGCGCTGGGATTTGCTGTTGTTGGGCTTCTCGTAATAGAGGCCGCATATATGACACCACTGCTTACTGCTAGCAATTGGGGTCCAAGAGCGAGGGCCGCACTTCTCGCACTGAACCCACGAGCGCCCAGCAGTCGGCGCCATGGCTGACTGAGTTCCGGAATGGTGGCTGGATGAAAAACTCGCGGCGCCTGGCGGCTCCCGCGAGGATCGAACGATGTCGGCCGCGTAGGCCTAAAGAGTAAGCGCCGACGGGTGAGGCTATGCCGCCTGCCTGCCCGTGGCGCGAGCACGTCTGGTCACTGTACCACCTCGAGAAGATGGCAACTTGAGCCAAAATGGCTACGGACCTCCAATTCCTCCCCCTCCTATTAGGTCGGTCGGGCATGTCCTCCTACAGGCGGGCTGAGGAGGAAAACTGAAACATAGCCAAACAACACCCAACAATAGCCAAACATCGTAGAACAATCGCCCCCACCCTTATGTTTTTTAGACATATGTTTGAGTCTACCTCCTGCAGATCGACACGCCCGATGTAGCCCTGCTCTTGCCAGCCCCCGTGCCCCCAAGGCGCCTATACATGCACAGCACGCCGTGCGCCCTGCCCCTGGCCATCGCTCGGACGTCCATTCCCTGTGCTTGTTTCGGTTTCGTGCGTGGCTTCTTCGCCAAATGATCAAGGATGCTCCTCGATGGTCCTCGCTGAAAGGAAAACTGCACACGTCCGAGCGATGCCAAGCCCTGCCCCCAAGGCGTCGATATGTGCACCGCACGCCGTGCGCCCTGCCCTGCCCGCTGCTCCCCGCTGCGAGCTCCCTGCCGCCGCGCGAAGGGCGGCCCTCTGCCTCTCCGCCAGCTCTCCGGTCTGCGAGGCTGCACTGGCCATCGCTCGGATGTCCATTACCTGTGTTTGTTTCGGTTTCGCGCGTGGTTTTTTCGGCGGTGGACAAACCTCCCTTTAGTAAACCACTCTTTAGTAAAAACGGCCTGGGACCGAAACCGACGGACCTGGACCCGCAAAAATGACGGCCGCGACGCCCTCTCGCGAACCGGAAACGGCCAATTCGCTAATCGACGTGTCAGGGTAGGAGGTCTGTCCAACCCCGATTTCTCGCAAAATGATCAAGGATGCTCCTCGATGGTCCTCGCCGAAGGAAACTGCACACGTCGGAGCGATGCCAAGTCTTCGGTGGCAGCTCACTGGGAGCCTCCCATGCCGTCTTGTCGGCTCCTGCGAATCGACGCAACATTGACGCTACATCGACGCGAAGTCGACGCGAAATCGACGCGAAATCGACGCTCACCGACGCGAAGTCGGCGCTGTCTCATCGACTCCAGACGCTAATCGACGCTAAATCGACGCTCATCGACGCCAAAGACGGAACTGAGAGGGTATACCAGGCTCCCATGCTTTGCCACCGAAGCCCTCTGACCAGGACAAAGTCGGACCAGGACCAATCAGGGATCTCTGAGGTCTGGTGGCTCTGCAGGATGTGTCGGGCGCCGCGGCCTTTCCAGATCGGGGGCGGCCAAAAGGGGGCGTCCAAGAGAGGGGGGCGCAAGCCATGGCCGGCGGCACGTGCGCGGCCCAGGCGTGGGCCGGGTACGCCTTGAAACAAGAAGGAGCGCCAGGAAATCTGGGGAGACCTCATGGCCCCCGCCATGCTGCCCCCCCTCCCCCTGGCCATCACCTCCCTCTTGCCCGCCTCCGCCCAGAGCGCCCTGGAGCGCTCCGAGAGCGCTACACGGAACGCTCGGGAGCGACGTGTCCATGTGCTGTGCCTGCGGGGCCCTCTCCTGAAGTGACCGGCCCTCCCCCTCCCCTCCCCCTCCCCCTCCCCCTCCCCCTCCCCCTCCTCCTCCTCCTCCTCCTCCTCCTCCTCCTCCTCCTCCTCCTCCTCCTCCTGGTGCTGATCCACCGCCCCCCTGGGCCTCTCGGCATTGGCGCGCAGCTGGCGCAGAGCTTGTTCTCGGCTGCTCCCCACCTGCCGCGCGCAGGGAGAGGGCCACGACCTGAGGAGCTCCCAGGGCGAGCCGTGCGCGGGCATCGACGAGGGGCGGCAACGGCGGTCGGGAACGGATGCGCGCGCGCTCACAGGGAAAAGTTACGTAAGGATAAAGAGGCTAAGGAAGCTGAGGCTGCGGCTGCTGAGGCTAAGGCTGCCGCTGATAAGGCTAAGGAAAAGGCTGCTGAGGCTAAGGTTAAGGTTCAGGTGCCAAATAGTTACTCCAAATTTCCCAATATTAGCCCATACAAGTTCTCGACGTCGGCGCGTCGCGTGGGCGAGGGCGGGCGGCACGAGGGATTGGGGCCCCCTCCGGGGCCCCCCGACCTGGCCGAGCTTGGCGCGTGCCCCCACGGCGCCCACGGGGGCCATCCGCGCTCGTGAGGCGAGTCGACCGGGAGGCTGGCGGGCGCCCGCGGCAAGCCCAGCGTGCTGCAGGGGTGGCGGCATGCGATAGGGAAGCCTCAGATAAGGGATCCAGGGTCTGGAGGCCGGCGGAACTCCAATGGAGGCTTTGCCATGGATATCACAGCTGCCCTCATCAGACAAGGAATCCTCCAGGCTCTGACGCCTCCTGGACGCATTCCTTTGCGAACACCCCCACCGTATTGCCGCGAGGCTGAATCCCGTATGCGCAACCACAGCAATGCGACGAGGCCGTGCTTCCGTGCAGTATAGGCGTCGCTGCAGGTGGCAGAAATGATTCCATCATTCACGAAAAGCCCGGGACGCATGGTTCCCCCCCGAATCATGCGCATGCGCACAATAACGACAACGCTCGGGACACCGACTAGACGACACATCCTCACCACTACTCCATACCTGAATAGCAGTAGCTGGCGCCTGAGAGCGGGCAGCCTCACCCCTTTCCCAAGTGTACCGAAGAATCCACAAAGAGTGTGACAGCACCACCATCCGCATCAACGATTTTCGTCATGCAGAACCAAGGGCCTTGCCAGGCAAATCTCTCTGCCAAGCTCTGCGAACAGGTCCTATCGGTGGACGCTGGCGGCTATCGCTCTTCCCGCTGCGCGGGGAGCGAGAGCTCTAGACAGCAGGCTGGGCGCGGCCGGCTTGGAAAACGCGCTGTCTGACGGTGGTTTTGGACGAGCGCGGCCCACTACTCGTAAAGTGCAGTAAAGTAAGGGCTCGACCACAAGAAACCTTCCACAAGAAACCCAATCCTGAGACCCCAGGACCTCCGTTGATTTTGGTCAGGGAACGTCACGCTTCCCATAGCGAGTCCATCGAAGCCCAAGAAACCCAGGGCACCCTGGAGGCAAGCAGGGTGTTTCTTGGCATGGGTTTCCACTGTAACTGCTCGCAAATGGCCCGGATCCGCCGGGGGATCTGCTATCCATTGCATCGAAGCACACATCTGTTCTTCGGACGTTTGCGAGTAGGCACTCTGCGAAGAATGGAACGCGCTCGGTGATGTTTGTGTCAGCCAGGCCGGCAGGGCAGGAAGCGGGTTGAAGAAGCGAGAGGTGTGGGCGGGAGAGAAGGCGACAGCTGGTCCACAAACGGGCAGTGTGTACAATCGAATTCCGAAGCCTCGAGCTCCAAAAATCCAAAACTTGGGGGTCTCGAGGATCTGGGTCGCTGGCGCCGACCTCGTGCACAAACTGAAGAGGAGAGGCGACAGAGGTCGAGTCGGACAAAGAGGTGGGTATCAAATCAGCTCGCGTGGCTGGGTATCAAATCAGCTCGCGTGGCTGGTACGGCCAGTGTATCGAGGAATGCGCCCAGCGGCGGGGCTGAAACCAGCTGCGTGCAGCAGTGTTCGCACCCCCTCCTTTCTCAATCAATCTCCTCCCACCCCTTTCCAGGACATCCGACGTCGCGACTGGTTTCGCAACGCGGTCCCCAGGAGACTGGGTCTCTTCCCGGGGACCAGCTCATCCCGCACAGTTTGTTGACGGTCCCCGGGGCCGGACGGACGCCCACCAAAGGCCGAAAGCTGCCAAAGACTTCCCATGGTGCCCGCGTCACGACGCGAGGATGTCTGGGCTCCGCCCGCCCCGACACTTTGAGCAGGGACCGACCGTCCCGGCATTCCTGTAGTCCTACCACGAAACGTTCTCATAACACAAACATCTTCTAAGGACGAAAACAATGTCCTTAGAACATAAGCCCGATTTGATAAAACAAGACAGGCTCCGGCAGACATGTTCTAAGAACATCTTGTGGAAACCACAAAAGGTTCTTAGAACATTGAACGGTAGGGCTATAGGCGAGCCAGGACGCTTCGTCACTGCTTGAGGACACTGGAAGCACGGCTGGCGCCCGGTCACTCGGCCGCCGCCTCAGCCGCAGGACCTCCCAGCCTCGGCCCTGGCGGCCAGCTGGTCGATCGCGGACAGCAGCGTCGGGCTGGCGCCCAGGCTGGGCCCGCCCTCGCCGTCGGTGCCGCCGCGGCCGCCCGCGGAGCGGAAACTCGCCTGGACCCGCTGGCTCGAAGAAGAAACACCGGCGTACATACACGTCGTTCATTTCTAAGCGTGCTCATTCCCAAGTGTGCTCGTTTCTAATTGTTCCTGGCCCCCTAGTGGCCAGGAAGAGGCCAGGGATAGAACAATTAGAAATGAAAGGATCTTGCCCGCGGACTTCTTGGATCGGCACTGGGCCTCCTGGGGACGCCTGTGGGGCCGCCCCATGGCGCGCTCAGGGCGCCAGAGTGGTGGTGCCGGCGCCGACCCATGACATCCGCGCCGTGCTCCGAAGGCTGACATGTTCGCACCGTGGTTTCTTCTTCGACTGGTCCAGCTCCAGGCCCTCGAGCCCCAGGTCAACGCCGATGTACTCGCCGTCGCCGTCCAGGCCCACCATCTCGTACTGGAGCCCGAGGTCGCCCGCGTCCTCGCGCTCCTGCGCCGCGGGCTCGCCGGCGTCTGGGCCGCCCTCGAGCTCGAACACGCACTCCTCCTCCTCCTCCTCGAGATCCTCCTCCTCCTCCTCGTCCTCGTCGCCGCCGCTGTGCAGGAGGGCGCGGGGGCCGTGCCCGCCGACGGGGGCCCGCGCGGGGCCCGCCCAGGTGGCGTGCCTGAGCCCCCGCCGGTGCGCCGCGGGCGGCGTGGGCCGTGGCAGCGTGAACGCCGGCACGTCCCAGTCAGCCGACGACGGCCTGCGGGCCGGCGCGCTGGGCGGCTGGGGGCGCCCGCCCGGCGGCACGGCGGCGGGCCACGAGGAGGCCAGCACGGCGTTCAGGAAGGCGGTCGCCGGGCCGGGGTCCGTGCCCCTGCGCGGGAAGGACCCGTGCTCCATCGTGGCGCCCGCGGCGCTCGGCGGAGGCCGCCTCGGGCGAGCGCTCCCCAGCGGCGGGCCTGCACCTCAGAGGCCCGGAGTCCCTCGGGGCGGCCGGCGCGGGTCGGGCCATGCGGGCGCCAGCGGCGCCGCTGCCCTCGTGGGCCAAAATGGCTGCGCGCGGAGGCTGCGGGGAAGAGCGTCCGCCGCGGGCGGCGCCCGAGTGTTCCGGGGCCACCCAGCTGCGCGAGCCGCACTCCGCGCGAGGCGCGGGCCGCCTCGCGCCGCCCCTTGGGCTCTCTGGACGCGGCTGCGAATCGCGACGCGCCGTCAGCGCCGCATCGCTGCAAGTGGCCTGGGAGATCACACTGACCGAATCGCTGCGGTGGCAGCCTCGGCCCGCGGACCTCAGCCCAGGAACGCGGAGAGAACACGGGTCCTGAAGGATGCGGGTCCTGCAGGCTTTCGCAATTTTCGGGCTCCGGGGACCTCCCTGGGTCCCATAACAAACCGTGCCTTCCGCGCCGGTGCGGGCAACACCTTCAGAGGGCTGCTGGATGGGGTCCGAGTAGATGGGGTCGAAGGATCGCGCCGCATCGCCGATGCACTGTCGACGTCGGCGATGCACGGGCGACGCCAGCACGGAGAAAGTCGGGCTCCGCGTCGAGCCGCATCACCGATGCATTGGCGATGCATCAGCGATGCGGCGCAATCCGCCGAACCCGTCTACTCCGACCCCATCAGAGGCCTAGAACCTTGGGACCACCCGAGGCAGACGGAGTGGGACTGGGGCGTTTCGCATTGCAACGTTGACGGCAACAAAATCACTTTCAGATCCTGGCTTGCTTCCGACACACTTCGCGTGGTTGCTATTTCTAACACGCATTGCGTTGCCAACTCTTGTCCCGTGCCGCCGGCCAGGAGGGTGGTCTTTCTCGTCCCCCCTCCGTTTCTCTCCGTCCTCGGTTTTCCTGTCTCCGTCCGTCCTGAGACAGAGGGGGCAGAAATGAAGAAGGGGGAGGATACTGGCAAAATGGGTTTGATGGACGCGCGGTGTGATCCTCGCTGATGAGCTCACGGGTCGCCAAGGCCCAAGCCGCTCGGCCCAGGTCGCTTACGTTTACGCAGCGAGGAACAGGAGGAGTGGGCCGCATGACCCACTCCTCCTGTTCCTCATTGCTGTTCCACTCCTCCAGCTCCTCCTTTCTAGAGATCCTCCTCGTCCTCCCTTGCTCCGTTTTTCCAGACGCCCCTCCAATCTGCTACTCCTCCACCTCATGTTCACTGGTTGGTGACCATGATTATTATCATCCTGCTCCTGCTGATACTTATTGTTCCTCTGTGGTCTTTGAGCATCCTCCTCCTCCTCTCGCGGAAGAAACATCGTTGCGCCAGTACGCCCTTCTGAGGCGTCTGTTCGCTGGCCCCCCTGAGAGCGCCCCAGCTGGCATCCTGGCCACCACGTCTTATGACAACTATCCGGACTGCGCGGGCGACCGCTAGCCGTTCAGCGTCGTTGTGGCGCAGCCGTCTCCCCCCCGCGCGCCATCGAGGTAGTCGACCCAGCTCTGGGAGCACTTGCAGGCGCACGAGGTGGCAGCCTGGAGAGGCGCGGGCCCGCCTCGAAAATATCGTCCCTCCAGACATGAGCGAGGTGCTCCATGCCACCAACCTCCACGCCCAAAATAACGAGCAACGCCGGCACCGTGACCAATTGGCGACTCTGTGACCGGGAACACGACGGGTTTGTGGGGGAGCCCCGCCTATTTGCGGCACCTGGACGCCGTTGGCACAGCGATGGCGAGGCAGCGCCAGCATCTCCCACACAGCGCCATTGACGCAGCCGAGTTAGAGCCAGGAGCAGCAACGGCTGCACGAGACGGTGAGCTTGTGCTCGGCAAGGCACGAGCACGCCTCGAAAGCATCGCCCCTTCAAATCTGTACGCCGTGCTCCGTGCCACTGGCCCCCGTCCTCCAGTGGACCTTCAACGCCGGCGCCGTCGCCTGCTGGCGCTGGAGCCCACCCTATTCCCCGTCGGTCTCATCACATGCCCCCATGTATTTGATTTCGCTCTCCTTCCCGCCAGTGTAGCAGTTGCGGACATTCTCTACAATTGCTGGTCAAAAAATACCAAGACTGGCTGAGCTGCCCGAACCGCACCATACGAAAGACTGTGCCGGCATCCGGAGCACGTGTGCGGGCAGGGGGGTAAAGCAAGCGGCCTGTAGGTTGGTGGCGACAGCTTGCTCCGTCTTGGGCCTTGTCCTCCTCGTCTGACATGTAAACTCGTGCACCTACTCCTGCTCCACCTGCACCACCTAGTCCTCTCACTCCTGCTCGTCGACGTCACCCTCCTTCCTCGCCGGTAAGCAGCTGCATGCGAACGAAGAAGAACTCTCAGATCGCGCACTTGCACTCCTGCTGCTAATGTTTCTCCTCCTCCTCATCCTCCTGCTGCCTCCATTCCACCTTAGGCAGCTGCGGCCCCTGACCCCAAGAGATTTCGATACAGTCGGAAAACTCTGTGTGCCTCTGAGCCACGTTATCATTACTCCTCCCGTTGCTCATCTTCATATTCCTCCCCCCCTCCCTCATCGCAAGACTCCTCACCCTCCTCCGTCTACTCGTCTTCATCATGTTCCTCCTTCTCCACCTTCTCCTCCTCGTCATCATGACCATCATCTGCATACTCCTCTGATTTATCTACGTCCGTCTCTTACTGAAATCCCGCCACCTCTTCTCTCAAGGTGAGGTTCTCCATCCGCAACTGCTGGATCTCTTGCAGGAAGGACAGTCTATCCTGTCCGCGTGTCCCAGCAGAAGAGGGGACAATGACGAAACGGGAGAACGAAAGAAGCAGACTGTGATCGGGAGGGGGAGAGGGGGGCGGAGGGGGGATGGAGAAGCGGATGATGAACACAAGCAGCGACAACGTGAGCAGCGAGGGAATATGGAAAAGGAACGACATCGTTGATTCGAGCAGGGGGGTGAGAAGTAAACGGGATATGAGGGGGAAATGATGGACATACCACTCAACATAGATTTGAGGCTAGGTCGGCCTTGCGGAATGCTTGAAAGGATCCCCTCCCGCGCGATTGTCCGCGCCGCGTGCATGCACCGGAGAATTCGAGAACGCACTGGAGCTGGAAACAAAAAGGTACCCATACCGCTGCTCCTCGGATGGGGTGCGTTCTGACCTGAGATTCGTGGCGAATCCAGCCGTGACGACGAGGGCATCCAGGGAAGATCCTGGGCATGCCTGAGTTCGCACGTGATGCTGACGATGCTTGGCGGCCGCGGCGCGGCGGGCGCCACAGGGAAGCCCTCAGAGATGCCGCCCCCCCCTGCGGGACGCGGGGTCCGCACCACACTGGGTAGGCAGGGGGCGAGGAGCGGGAAGAGGACGACAAGTGCAAGGGGGGGGGGCGGGAGTGGGGGCAGAAGAGGAAGAGCAGGAGCAGGAGGGCCAGGGCAGACCCGCCTGCCGGGTCATGTGAGGATCCCACGGGGCTTTGCTGTCTTGCGCGTGCATCAGCAGCCGGAGTGCGGCGGGAGTGAGGCCACGTGGCCAGCAGCCGCAGGAGGGGGGCGAGGAGGGAGGGGAAGCAAGCGCGCGGCGCGGTGTGCCGAAGAGGCCGAGGGGGTTTAGAGCCTGGCGAGGAAGAGGGGGAGCGAGTGGTCTTGACCACTTGCGCCCGCGAGGTCATTGGTTGAAGTGTGCAGCTCCGAGCATGGATCTCTGGCAGTGCAGCCATGCTCGCTCACCATCCAGCTCTGGCAGCAGCCAACCTCAGGATGCTCCAAGACTTCTCTGCGATGCCTGCACACATTTCAGCACCATCCGACTGCAGAAGTAGAAGGGGGAACCATAAACTAAACTTGGGCCAATCACCCCTTGTTTTTGAGATCGCAACACGCTGCCGTCGCGGGTCATGCATGCGTTGTCGCGAGCGCATTTGCGCCGACGCTGGCTTGCATCGAAGGCGCCATCTGCTAATCATTGCCGCGCGCTGGCCGCAATTGAAATTGCGTTTTGGGTTTCCACGCGCGCTCACCAGCCGCAGCGAATATCGCCATTGGCCCCGACAGCCCGCAGATCGGCGACACAATCGGAAACCGACGACTGCGAACCAGAGCCCCAAGAAACGGCAAACAATGACGCCCTGTGGCGCTTGCTCTCGCCCCCCCCCCCCTGACCCCCTGACGACTAATCCTCACGGCTGCCCCGCGTTTTCTCGCAGCCAGCGCGCCGACGCCGCGCCGGAGCGCATTGGAACGGTCGCGTCGTACTCTGGCAACGCTGCTGCAGCTATCAATGGACGGACCCCCCGTCACGCTTCTACCGCGCAGTTTGCGAGACCTCCCCGCGTGGCAGTCTTCACGATCCCAATGACACCCTGAGGCGGCCCAAGATTGCCCCAGGACGGCTCCGAGGCACCCCGTGGTCTGCTCGAGAAAGGCCGATGACATCCTCGAGCTTCCACGGCGGAGGCCAAGGGCGCCCGATAAGGCTCCGAGTGGCTCCCGAGGTATCTCCAAGGTGCAATCCAGCACGGACGGCTCTGGGAGGTGAATCGCAGCGAATCGCACTCGTGATGTCCATTTGTCGTTTCCCAAGCCCTGCGGCCCAAGATGGGCCCAGGAGGGCTCCGCGGCGTTTATGGATCCCCTGCTGCGAGGTGGATCTGCCACAGGCATCTGGAAGTAGACCGGCTTGCCGCAGGCAGCCGGATATAAGTCCACACAACGTCCCCCGTGCACCTGAAAGTATATACAAATCTCAAACTATCGAAGACAACAGTGCCGACAATCATCCCACCAGCCCTCTGGACGGTGGTGGTTCAGAGCGCTATCTCTCATTAAGACCTTGCCGGCGCTTGACGCTTGGGCGTGTGTCGGACGATCCGCAGAAATCTGCGAGTACCTGATGGCGTCTGGGCGGATGCGAAAGAATCTGGACGAATCTGGAAAAACCTGGGACAATCCAGAAAAATCTGGAAGAATCGATCATCACCACCACCACCACCACCATCATCATCATCATCATCATCATCATCATCATCATCATCAGCATCATCATCATCATCGTCATCAGCATCATCATCATCACCATCATCATCAGCGTCATCATCATCAGCACCATCATCAGCATCATCAGCATCATCTTCGGCATGTGGGGGATTGGGAGAGATTCTCCTCCAATCCCCTACGTGCCCCTCTGGGGAGGGGCTCGCCCTTCCCTCCGCCCCTTTCCCTCTGGGGTCTCGACGCGGGAGGCCGCGAGCGGCCAGCGCGTCCAGGCTGGCCCGAGGTGGCTCCACGAGTGCTGGCCTCCAGCACTCCAAGACCCCTGGCACGCTGAGGCGTGCCGAAATGCCGAGCGCTGGCTGGCAGGGCCTCTGCCCTCTCAGGAGGAGGAGGAGGAGGAGGAGGAGGAGGAGGAGGAGGAGGAGGAGGAGGAGGAGGAGGAGGAGGAGCAGGAGAGGAGGAGGAGAGTGTATCGCTCCCTCTTTCTGGGCCTCTCTCGGCGGCCAGACACGTCCCCGGCGCTCTCCGGCGACCCCCAGGATGCCCAGGATGGCCTCCAAGGTGGACCTGGCAGGCCACCGAGATCGCCGAGATCGTCCACAATTCCTCCACGACAGCCCCAGATGGCACCTGAGGTTGGTGACAGGCTTTCGAATTCTCGCCTCCTCCACATCGACCAAATTCGCCAGCACAGAACGGCCCTGCAGAAAGCCTCGATGGGAATCCGATAACCCAGGTGCGACCGCAGGTTCAATCCCCATGCGAACTGCACAGGAGATGATGCGATTGTCCGTGCTCGTGATGTTGAGGGGCCGCATGTTCGCAGGTGTCAGATAATCGATGCCGTCGGCCGTCGTGCCAGACGGCTTCCTAAGTAAAAACACCATCAAACTCTCGTTGAACGAGTCCCATGTAGCTGCCAGGAGGTAAAGTCCAGAAGGACTACATATTGCCAAGACTTCGTCGTAGAGGGCCTGGGCCGCGAACTCCCCGAGCTGGCGCCATGCCCAGAATGGAATACAATCCAGTCCAGGAGAGCTGTCCTCAGTAGAACGGATCGCCTGGCCAAACACCTCGAACGGCACCACCTCGCCTGGTACGTACCAGCACTGCTCCTCCGAGGTATGCCGCAACTCTGGATCGTGGCGCGGCCAACTGCAGCAGCCTGAATCGTGGCGCGGCCAACTGCAGGATGACGGTGGCCCGATTCGGCCACCCGCAAAAGCAGATACGTGACGATCGGTCAGAAGGCGAGCCGGAGGCTCCTCGGGGTCTGCGGAGGACCCCCCGAGGTCTCCACAGGCCCAGAGGAAACCAGAAAGCGTCCGAGCACCACGGTCTTCGCCGCAGTTCTGCTCGTGTGGCGGGGCACCCGCCGCCATCCCTCGTGGAGGCGGCGGGCCCCGGGCAGCCACGGCCGCGCCACGGGTCGCCCGCAAGCGTGGGGAAGGAGAAGCGCCAGTATCCAGGAGGCCAGCGTCAGTCTACTGTCGTCGAGCAGGCCGCAATAATGGATAGGGTCCGGAGGCTCCATGCGGAGGTAGCAAAACCGAACAATCGTTGGGCAACTTTGTTCGCGCGGCTTTCACCACGTCAAGCTGTTGCGCAAGCGGAAGCGGGGATGCCCCCTGACGCAAGACGACGTCCTTGTTGATGTAGAAAGGACGTCGCCAAGGCAGCGCTCGCACGTGTGATGTCGAATGCCGGGCACTTCGGCGGTGGACCGAGCCCGAGGCGGAGGATGGGGCAGGCAGGCCGGCAAAAGACAGGGGGCATGGTGGAGGAGGCGGAGAAGGGAGGCCGAGGAAAAAGTGCAGGGTGGAGGAGAACGGGCGAGCAGTCTGGGCGGACGCAAGACCAGGCCAGGGACGGTGGAGGTCCTGCCCGTGCACGTCCTCCGAGAGCGAGGCCTCTGCGAAAGAGGCGGCCACGGGGTCGTGCGGATGCGCCTGCCCCGCCTGCTCTCGCGAGTTTCCCCCCCCCCCCCCCCCGCCGCAGCTCCTCGAGCCTCGATCCTCGATCCTCGAGGCTCGAGCTTTCGGGGATCCTGGACGTCTCGGACCCCTCTCGGGCCTCGCCTCTGGAGCCGCCCCGGAATGCCTTTGTAGACAGCCAGGGGCTCGACGACCTCCGTGGGCTCGAAGCCTCCTCCTCCTCCTCTTCCTCCTCCTGCTTCCCCTCCTCCTCCTCCTCCTCCTCCTCCTCCTCCTCCTCTTCCTCTTTTTCTTACGTTGATCGGGCCCGAAGAGCAAGCTTGTGGCGTCATCAGTGGAAAAATGGCGGCAGGCCTGTACCCTGCAACAGTGCGGAATAAAGCAAGGCGCCTCGCGGCTGTAGAAGACAAGGAAAGTATAGAACCCAGAATATGCTGCAGGCGCAGGTGAAGCAAGAAGCCTCCTCCTCCTCCTCCTCCTCTTTGTCTTTGGTCTATTTGGATCTCCTATTCTACTTTTCCCGCTACGGCCCTGACCCCCGCGGCGCTGGGGGCCAGGGGGCGAGTTTACCGCGAGTCCATAGCGGGCTTCGATATATGCGTCCTGGAGGTCAGGTACGTCGACGACTACCTGCTGCTCTGGAAGGGTCCCTTTTCTCTCACAGCACGCGAGAACGACCGGGTGGACGGCGTCTTGCGTGGCCGTGGTGCTCTTCGGTACCCGCAATTGCCCTTGGAAGCTGACATGGACTTTTGTGTTCGTCGGGGTGGAAGTCACCATGTTGTTGGACGGCACGGTGCAAACGCGACCCTCGACAAGGGCATTGGGGCTGCGGGGGCATGCGAGCGCCCATCAAAATTTCTTACCTTACTTCAGCTTCAGCCCGCTGTCCGTGAAACGCTCGCTGGTGCTGGGTGCTATGTCGAGAGTGCGGTCGTACACGCGTCCACGGGGCCATTGCGAGGAGGTCGCCGGGGCTTTCGTAGCGCACTTGCAGGATGCAGCAGGCTATCCGACCGCGCTCCTCCAGCAGTGGCTGAAGGAGGGCTTCTCGCGGGCAGGTGTATAATCATTCCCATCGCTCGTCATCACGCTTCCTCCCGCTCCCCTCCCCCTCCGCCCTCCTCCCCCCTCTCGTCGTTCCTCCTCGTCTCCCCTTCTCCCCCTCCCTGCCCTTCCCCCCTCGTCGTCGTCTTCTCCTCCAGGGAGGTCCCAACCGCGCGGCCGGCCGGCACTGTCGTGACGGAGGGGGCATCGTGCAGTCGGGCACTAAAGTTGGATTTTGGGGCGCATTGTAAGAGCAGCTGTAGCTGTGCCGCGGATGGTTTGGGCCCGGCGCCATCTTGTACCCCTTGAATTCCCAGCCAGGGTAATATCAAAACAAGGATGCCGCCACACAATGTCTTCGGGATGTGTGGCACGAGTTGAGGCTAACAATTTGCCCCCCCCCCTCCCCCCCCCCCCCGGGCTCCCTTTTCACTTAAGCAGTGGTGAAGAATTGGCTTCCCGGCGGGGGGGGGAAAGTAACGATTTTCCCCCCCATGACGCGGTGACGTTAACCCGGCCGGATGGGGGCCCCACAGCTTGCCTCGAGATCTGCATTGGGTTTGTGGGCCAGGCGGGCTCGGAGCGGACCATCGCAAGGCCTGCCAACCGCAGGTGTGGGCTTACTGGTCGGTGGCCCTTGGGATGGCTCGTTCCTCGGATGCACGTTTGCTCTAGATCTTGTTGTGTGTTTCGCCCTCGGTCTTGATCTAAATCGTTCTGGTGCCTCGCCGTGAGCTTTCCTGGGGGCGTCCCGGTTGCGAAATTCTGTTTTCCCCTTTTCTCCTAAGCAGTGGCGAAAAATGTGCGCATGGTTTCGATTTAGGTCGTGGCTGATGCAGTGGTGCGGCATCCAATCTGCATGCCCCCTCTTCCTTCACCTCCCTCTGCTTGCTCGGACTTGCTCGCCTGCTGTGTGTGTGTGAGGGGCGGGATCCATAGACATCATTGGCTTCATTCAAATCCCCACCAACTTGGCGCCGTACGTGCAGCGCCAGGGGGGGCGGGCTGCTCACCCACGGTCCCACCACAAGGGACGGTGCGAAGCCCCTGTGAGCAGTACGGGGTGGGCACGGAAGGGCACCGTACGCTGATCCACCATCAAAGGAGTGCATCACAGCCTCCACCCTCACAGGAGTGCATCATAGCCTCCGCCAATCAACACTTTGGGGACTCATTGAACTCGTAACTCGTAGACTTCAATGTGACTTTATTCATTCCATGCGTAGCATGCTCTCTCCTCCTCTTACCGGTCCGCCGCGCACCTGCTCACAAGCGCAAGCTCTCTCTGCAGCAGTAGCGTGATGCTCGGTGCGCTCTCGCCTCGGCTACCCGGAGCCCAATCGGCGACAGTGCTGCCCACATCTCCGAGCTGGCCCAAGGAGCTCTGGGAAGCAGAGCCAGGCCCCTCGTGCCGTTGCTCTCGGCCGCTCGGTGGCCCTCAAACTATCTCTTCGAGCGCCCTTTGTAGCCTCCTCCCCGACCTCCTGGACCACCTCCGACACCGTCGCCGCAGCCACCGCCACCTCCGCAGGCCTGACGAGCGACCTCAGCAGCAGCCGCCGCGATGCGCTGGCTGGCGCCCGCGCGGCTCGGCTGGGTCCGGGGCCGAGCGGCTGGGCCCCTCTCCCTCCCTCCCTCGCGCTCACCCGGCAGACTCTTGCCAGGTCTGCGGCAGACAGAACATAACACCACCGCTGGCCACAGATTCCGCCTGCGAGCAGCCCCCCGGGAGCCTTCCCGGGGCCCGTCCCCGCGAGGTTTCCGAGCCGCGCGCAGCCGCGGCGGCGAGGATCCCTGGACGCCGACGGACCACCAAAGCGGAAGCCTCGCCGCCACGGACCGCCCGAGAGGCCTGCCCGGAGGGGCTAGGCCCGTCCTGGGGGCCCAGCGGCGCGGCCGGGGGCGGCTGCGAGCGGGGCTGCGCGTGGGCCTGTCGGCGGCGCATGGGTGGACGCGAGGGCTGAGGAGGAGGAGGAGGAGGAGGAGGAGGAGGAGAAGGAGGAGGGCTCTGTGGCCATTTTGGCTCACGCATGGTTCAGGAGGTCAAGCCCCGATGCAGCAGTGTAACTTGAGATTTCCGCCGCCGATGCCAATGTATTCCCCACCTCGGTGCAGCCTCAGCAACATCAGCCGCAGGCAGTCAATTCGGAGATGGAGGAGATTACTGAAATTGTGAAGTTGCTAATGCAGACGCAATCCACCATGGATCGGCAGATCTCGATGATCCTCGCAAGCACTGCGGCATGCCAGCCAGTACACCCCGTGCCACCAGCGCAGCATCAAGACGCATTCGGATCATGGCGACCACGGGCGGGACCCGAGGGACCATGTCCAGCAATGTCGAGTACCGGTGCAAGTTCGAGTGGGGCTCCGAGCGCAGCGCCGCCGAGTCCGATAGTCGTGCCGCCGTCCCCCACTGACATCCCCAACGGGCAGCCCGACATGCTCGCGCCCGCGGTGGAGTCCTACGATTTGGAGCCCACGGAGGTCGCTGAGTATCCGAATGGGGCCCAGAAAGCAAAAGGTGAGTCTGAGATGACGCCGGGCCCTAAAGACATGCACTCCCCATATTCATCCCCTATCCAGCCCCTGTCTCCCGCCACTCAGGCGGAAGATCCTTTGCTTTTCCCCCCTGTGGAGTTTTCTGTAGCCGGGGCTGGTCAAGTAGCCCCAGGGGTCAAGAGATGCCCCTCGGCACACACGGGAGAAACGCCTCCGTGGAAGGATTTGCGGCAGGCCGACATGTGAGATTTTGGGAGTGCATGGTGCGAGCATGTTGTTCCAGGGGAGACAAAGTGTTCACACGTATCGCCTCCTTCATTTGATTCCTTGGCCTCACCTTCTTCTCCGAAGCAATTGATAGCATGTCTCAAGATAGGGTGTAGATCTCAGGCACCAGGTCCCACCACCAGGGCTGCTAGCGGTGAAACTATTGAAGGCTTTTCGTTCGAGTCTCCCGTTGCACTCCCTGGAATTTCGGACATCAGCGATCCGTCTGTGGGTGTCTACCGGCGTGGACCCGATGGATGGGTAGGAAGAAAGTTTCCGTACTGTTCGGCCAGCCAAGCCAAGTCGACGTGCTATGCCGAAGAGCACGCACATATTTCGTCACATCTCCAGGCGCGACCAGCGCTGCGCTCGCGTCACCTCGTGTTTTCACGCAGTCGGCCCAGGGGTGTGAGGACATGGGTCAGATGCCCTCACCTTTTTCTTTTGAAGCCAGACCTGATCGGTTAGGCAATATGGCAGCGCCAGAGGACTCTGTGTCCCCTGTAACCTTGCCTCGACCCCCCTTTCAAAACTTACGTGCCAGTTCCACAGAAGGAGGCTGCGCTCGCATGCGCCTGTCGCAGAAATTGCGGCACAACTCTCACACGCTTCGTGGCCCCAATGGGAGCTCCACCGAATGCCCCAATGGCTGCGCTCGCATGCGCCCGTCGCGACCATTTCGGCACACCCCTGACATGTTCCGTGGCCTCATAGGCAGCCCCGCCGAAGCCCCCGATGGCTGCGATCGCATGCGCCCGCCGCGCCCATTTCGACACACCCCTCACACGTTTCGTGGCCCCATCGGGAGCTCCACCGAAGACCCCAGTGGCTGCGATCGCATGCGCCCGCCGCGCCCATTTCGGCTCCCCCCTCACACGTTTCGTGGCCCCATCGGGAGCTCCACCGAAGACCCCAGTGGTTGCGCTCCCGCCGAAGCCCCCATTGGCTGCGATCGCATGCGCCCGCCGCGCCCATTTCGGCTCCCCTCTCACACGCTTCGTGGCTCCATCGGGAGCTCCACCGAAGACCCCAGTGGCTGCGCTCGCCGCATGCGCCCGCCGCACCCATTTCGACACACACACACACACACACACACTCACACACACACACACACACACACACACGCCTCGCACGCTTCGCGGCCCCATCGGGAGCCCGCCGAAGGCCCCAGTGGTTGCGCTCGTATGCGCTCGCCGCACCGATTTCGGCACACCCCTCACACGTTTCGTGGCCCCAGGGGGAGCTCCACCGAAGGCCCCAGCGGCTGCGCTCGCATGCGCTCGTCGCGTCAATTTCGACACACCCCTGACACGTTCCGTGGCTTCATAGGGAGCCCCGCCGAAGCCCCCATTGGCTGCGATCGCATGCGCCCGCCGCGCCCATTTCGGCACACCCCTCACACGCTTCGTGGCCCCATAGGGAGGAGTCCCACCGATGACAATATTCACATATGCGGCATTCACAACTGCACATGGTCGGGTCCTTCGCCAGGCTAATTCATTGCAGTTTGGTTTGCCGCGCAGTTGTTTTGGGGTTGCAACTTTTTTTGCATAGAAGAGAGCCCCAAGTGTTGTCCATTGAGTCCCCAAGAGGGCTCCAAGAGGCTTCCAGGAGGGTTCCAAGCTGTTCTACACGTTATCATAAAAGGGGTCTCAAGTACGTTTGCGTTGAAGCTTTCTCTTGCGTTGCAAAGGGCTCCAAAAGGTCCCCAGGAAGGTCCCGAGAGAGTTCCAAGCATGTTCCAAGAATGCGTTCTAACAGGAGCATATCAGGGGCATCTGGTATAGTATCGTGGAAGTCTGGAGAGGTGTCCCCCCAGGCATTCTAGCACACCAGATTGGGTAAACATACTTCAACATGTATATCTTCCAAACCCTCTGCCCCACACGATGGGATAACCAACTGCCGGAGGGAGGCAAGGCTGGTGACGATAAAGAGGAGGAGGAGGACGACGAGGAGGAGGAGGAACAGCAGGAAAAACAAGAGGATGAGACGACAGGGCCCGCAAGGAGGAGCACGAGGAGGAGGGGGAGGAGCAGGATGACGGGAAGGAGCACAGGAGCAACGCCGAGGGCGCAGAGGAGTGCCCCGACTGGGCCTCGAAGACGAGGACGCGTGCCAGCGCACGCGCTCAGCACACAGACACATATGCGCACACGCGTGCAGACCACAGCGCACTACGCATACCATACCAACTCACGCCTGGAGAGGCCTGCTAGGGGAGGCAGCCGCCTCCAGCTCAGCGGACCCCTGCTCGCAGGACTTCAACACCAAGAATCAATGTAAGTGTGGCGACTGTGGCGACTGGGCAATTCTGAATCGTTCCAACGGTACGCTAACCATGAGAATCCGCGAAGCTCTTGCAAATTGTGAAAATGAATGACGAATGTGCGCGGTGTTAGGGGCGAGAACCGCATTTTGAAAAGGAGCCACCCGCAACGGCGAGAGCCACATTTTGAAAACGGCCCGCCCTCCATCCGTGAAATTGTTGCCATCTTGCGCAACGAATGTGCGCGACGCTGAGATGATAACCACATTTTGAAAACCACCTGTCCTCAATCCGCGGTGCTCTTGCAATTCTTGGAAACGAATGTGCGCGGCACTGGGGCGAGAACCACATGTTTAAAAGGAGCCGCCCTCCATCCGTCAAGTTTGGGAATTCTTTTGAACGAATGTGCACGGCGCAGAGGCGAGAACCACATTTGGAAAACGACCTGCTTGAAAATGACCCGCCCTCCATCCGTGAAGCTCCTGCAATTTTATACAACGAACGTGCGCGGCGCTGAGGCGAGAGCCACACTTTGGAAACCACCTGTCCTCACCCCGTGAAGCTCTTGCATGCTTTAAGCGAATGTGCACGGCTCTAAGGCGATAGCTAGAATGTTAAAGCGACCCGCCCTCAATATGTGAAGCTGTTGTTAATTTGAGCTTCGGGGCCATAAATGGTGAGGAAATCCACGGATGAGTTACGCATTCATTAAGAAAAGGAATGGAGGAGGATGAGGAGGATGAGGATGAGGAAGTGGAAGGGGAGGAGGAGGAGGAGGAGGAGGAGGAGGAGGAGGAGGAGGAGGAACACTGTTTCTGACGGTGCCAGCGGCTCGGCGACAGTTCTGGAATGGCCGAAATCCAACAAAATACGACGTTTTCATCGCTGTCGTCCTCGTCCTCGTCCTCGACTTCCTCGTCGTCGTCGTCGTCGCCGTCGTCGCCGTCGCCGCCGTCGTCGTCGTCGTCGTCGTCGTTGTCGTCGTTGTCGTCGTCGTCAGCATCGTCCCGCCCCTGGCGACGCCGCAGCTGAGGCTGGGATCGATAGCGCTGCTGCGTCAAGTCCGATTGCGGCGGAAAGGCAGCAATATCAGCTCTCATGTCCCAGTGCACAGTAAGGCGCTGGCGCAAAAGAACTTTTCGCCTCGGGCGGCTTAGAATATGGAGTCACCGTGAAAGTGGAGAAGTATGAGGAGGAGCAGAAACAGGCGGGAACAGAGGGAGACTAGGCCTGGAGCCGGACAGGAGGAGGAGGAGAAGGAGCAGCAGCAGCAGCAGCAGCAGCAGCAGGAGCGGGAGAAGGAACAAGACGAAGCAGAGGAGGAGGAGGAGGAGGAGGAGGAGGAGGAGGAGGAGGAGGAGGAGGAGGAGGGAGGGAGGGAGAGGGGCATCCTCCTCGTCCTCCTCCTCCTCACCTTCCTCCTCCTCACCTCTTCCTCACCGTTCGCCCTCCTCCCTCTCGTCTTCATTCTCCTCCACCTCATTAACCTCCTGCTCCATTATCCTCCTCGCCCTCCTACTCTTCCTCCCTCTGCCGCTGGAGAGACGGGGTAAGGAGGACGGCGGCGAGCGATGGCGGTGTCGTGAAGTCGGGCTCTTTCGGCCTCGCCCACTGGCGTTGATTAAGCACGCGGCAACTCTTGAAAGTAACTCCTGTGGCCAGAGGACTGCTGAGGTGCACAAACCTAAACTTTCGGAGCTCGGCGTGGGTTTCTTGGAGCGGCCTCCCTCCTCGGCGGGCGGAGCGAGCCAACCGCGGTGCCGGAGGCACTGCTGGGGGGTCCAGCGCCGACCCGGGAAACGTGCGCGGACCTCCGACGGTATGCCGTTTCTGCGCTCCGACAAGGTCGCGTAAATGGACATGGAAATTGCACCCTGCGGTGCAAAAGGCTTCCCCTGGCCCCACGATTTCCTTCTTGGCTGCGTGGCGATGAGGGGGGCTTGCATGGACAAAGATATTCGTTCCACAGGGCCACCGTTTGCTTTGAGATCAAGTTTGGCATTGCTGAAAGCATCATCATCCCCTTGAGGTTCGCAAGAGACGATCTGTCTGTCCATCTACAGCAGGAGGGCTCCGGCGCAGGGCCGCCCTGCGACCAATCGGCATCGGATTGAGAAGTGGGATGCATTGCACGCAGTATTGTGTCGACCATGCACTTGCTGTGTTCGCATGCCGCTGCCATTTTCATTCGAGTCCTGACGAGCCCCAGCAGGGGCGAAACGTTGACACGCGTAGTGAAAAGGCACGGGCTTGAGAGCGCCATACGAGTAAGGCAGCGTCGGACCGGCCTGCGTCGGCACGGAATCGACACCGAATCAGATCGGTTGCGCAAGTGTGCAGACCAGCGCCGTGCAATCGCTGGGCCGCATCGGATAGGACGGGAATCACGGCTCCAGATTTCAAAACGAAAAGGGGGGTCTGATTTGAGCGGGGGTATGCTTTGAGCTTTCCTGGAGGAGCCAGGGGCGGCTGGGCAAAACGCCGCCCGTTCACGGCTGCTCTGGGGGGGGGTCTGAAACTGCCCGTCGGGGAGGTGTGAGACCCCTCGCTTTTTAGGGAACCGAGCTCCATACACCGACGCCTTTGTCTGGCCTCACACTGAATCTCGCACAGGAAAGCGGATCCTGCTGTATACGGGATCCTGGTGTATACACTCTTCGTTGCTTCACATGGAAAACGGGGAAAAAGTATACACCACACCACCCCGACGTCGTCCCCGACCCTCAAAAAATCCTGGGATTGAAAAACCGCCCGCCACTGGTAATGTATATGCTCCAATGTCCGACTTTTCTCTTGTAGTGTGGAAGCCAGATCGATCGCATCGAAGTGGACACCGCGCCGTGCTGCAGGCCCGCGACGGGCGCCGAGCTGCCGCGGTGTGTCCCCTGTCTTCTCCAGTCTCGGGGTGCTCTTCAATAGAGGGCAGAAGATCCACCCCGATAACCACCCCGACACGCGAAGCCGTTTAGCAAACGCACCCAAAGAAGGAATCAAACAGGGCAGGGCTGTGTAGTAAACGTCCAGGGCCGTTTAGTAAACGCCAATTGTCTGGTCCGGGTGGTTTTTCCTCCCTTGATTGGGAGATTCGTCGGCCTGCCTTCATTCGCTCCGCGACTCCCTCGAAGCTCCGCCCTTGGCATCCTGCTCCCCCTGCAGGGTCGGCGGAGCCGGCCGGAAGGCTTCCCGGATGCACGGGCCGATCGGATCGGAATGGGCCCCGCGCAGTCCTGAAGGCCCGCGATGGGCGCCGAGCTGCCGCGGTGTGGGGATGCGCCGGCGAACTGCTGCTGTGGCGGACCGTGCGCCGCCTGGGGGTGGATCGCCTGCCAGGCGGGTAGTCGCCAGCGGGTCGTCGCCCCCGCCGTCGTCGACGCCGCCATCGCCGCCGCCGCCGCCTTCGTCGATTGCTCGTCCTCCACTCCCTCCTCCGCCTCCTTCTCCTCCTCCTCCTCCTCCTCCTCCTCCTCCTCCTTCTCCTCCACCTCCTCGCCCTCCTCGCCCTGCGTTTCTGCGCTTCTCGCTCCGAGCAGCGTCTCGCATGCTCCCAGAGCGCGGAGCGCGCCACAGCAGCCCACGAGGGCCGTGCGGGCACTCAGACGACGGCCCCGGGAACCCGACCTCGAGGAAAGAGAGAGGACCAGGGACCAATAAATACCACGGAGGAGGAGGGGGGGAGAGGCTGGGTTTAAAAGAAGGAGGCCCGAAAGAACCCTTGGACGGTCGCCGCGCGCGCCCTCGCCCGCGGGCGTCAGGCAGCGCCCGCGGCGCGGCGCTCGGCCTGGCCTTCGGCCTCTTCGTGGGCCGGGGCCAGGCTGGCCGCTCGGTTGCGGCTGGGCTCCCTTCGGCGCGGAGCGCTGAGCCCAGCCGCTGAGGAGGAGTCACCTCCTCGGCTGGGTCTGGGTGTGTGGTCCCTGCTCGTGACCACCATTCCCCAGGTCCAGAGGGGTGTGGGGCAGTGGCTCTCCTGCATACCTTTCCCCATCCCCTCGCGGGGAGCGAGGTATGTGGCCCCTGCTCCTGGCCACCTTTCCCTTGAGCCCGCTTCGGCCTGGCTGGCCTCTCAGCGACACCTGGGCTCCCTTCGGCGCCTCGCGCTGAGCCCAGGGTCGGGGCAGGCTGCCCCTTGACGTTAGAACAGAGTGCGTGGTCCTTGGGCCTGACCACCTTTCCTCTGTCCTCTGCCATCGGTGGTCACAAGGTGTGTGGTACCTGCTCCTGACCACCTTTCCCTAGAGCTCACTGCTTGGTTAACTTCCTCCTCCTCCTCCTCCTCCTCCTCCTCGCCCTCCTCCTTTTCCTCTGCTCGTCTTCCCCGTCTTTTTTTTCCCATAAGGCACACGCGGTCTGCGAACCTCTACCCGCCGCTGCCATCATGCTGCAACCGTTTGGAAAAGCAACTCTAAACACCACTCTGCTGCTAACGACTCTGCGAGAAAGGCGGACCTCAGCTTGCCCAGCAGTTTCCCTGCCCGGAAAAGCAACTGTCTCTCTCCATTGCGATAATATGCAATTGCTACTGCCCCGGCGGCTGAATCCCCAGAGGACCTCTTAGCACCATCAAAACTAAATCTGTAATTGACGTCTGCTGCCTCCGACGCCCGCTGCATATTTTCGGCGTGCTGGACGAACCAATCTTGACCCATGTCGAGCGCCTTGTTCGCAGCCTCATCGGCTAGCCCGTTGTAATCTCTAGGGTCCCACTCGATATACTCGACGTTGTTTCGTCGGGGAAGCCGTTGGGCACCATGGAGCCGCAGTAACTGCCGTGCGATGCGCACAAACAAGGGCCGCAGCTCGTCACCATGAAGTAGCGACCGCCCTCCGAGAAGTTGTGCCACCTGCAGGTTGTCCGTCTGGCCCGCATATTCCTCCCTCTCTTCCTCCTCCTGGACTCTTTGGACGCTTTCGTTCGCGCCGTGTCGTGGGAACCGGCGAAGCCTGGCATACAGTGGAGGCCAGTGCGCAAGAAACCTTCCGCGAGAAACCCAGCCCTGAGACCCCAGGACGTCCCTCCAGTCTTGGTGTGCGAGCGTCGCACCTTCCGAAGCAGAACCATCGTCAAGGAACGGTTGAGCCGGGCACACTCGCGCCGTACCCACCGGTGGCATGCCAAGCACCCTCGAGCTGCCTCCTCCTTGTTCTCCTCCTCCTCCTCCATTTCCTCCTCTTCCTCCTCCTCCTCCTCCTCCTCCTTGTGGTTATCCTCCTTCTCCTCCTCCTTCTTCTCTGCTTGTGTCTCCTCTTCCTTCCCATCCCCCCTCCTCCTCCTAATCCTCCCCGTTCCAATCATCCCCCGACACCCCAATCATCGTCATCAACAGCACCACCACGACCACAATAACCATCATCACCACCACCATCATAATACTCATAGACAAAACCATGATCACGATCGCCACAATAATCATCACCATCACCATCACCATCACCATCACCATCACCATCACCATTACCATCACCATCACCATCACCATCACCATTGTCACCACCATTGTCATCATCATCACCATCACCATCGTCATCACCATCATCATCATCAGCATCATCCTCATCCTCATCATCATCACCATCAGCATCACCATCATCATCACCAGCATAAACATCACCATCATCATCATAACCATCATCATCATCGTCATCACCCTCGTCGTTGTCATCGTCATCATCAACATCCCGCCCCTCCTCATTCACATCCTAATCATCATCCTGCTCTTCCAGTGCTCTTGGGTCACTTATGATCTGGAGGGCTTGTCCCACAAGGCATCGTCGGATGCATGCGCAGGCAGGCTCGCATCATACGCGTGGGTGAACATGAGAAACTTACCCACCCTGCACGTCATCATACTTCCCTTCATGGTGGTTCATCATCCTCCCTCCCTCGCTCCTGCTCGTCATCACCCGGATCCGCCTCCTCCGCCATCTTCCACCTCCGCCGTCTCCTTCCACAATCCCCTCCTCCTCCCTCTCATCCTCCATCCTCCATCCCTCCCTCCGTCTCTCTCCCTCCCTCCCTCCCTTCCCATCCTTGTCTGATTCCTTCTCCACCTTTGTACTATCCTTCCTTCCTCCTGCAGCCCCGCCTCCCGCGTTCTCGTCGTCGTCGTCCTCCTCCTCGTCATCCTCTTCCTCTTCCTCCTCCTCCTCCTCCTCCTCTTCCTCTCCCGTCTTCTTCTCCTCACTCGCTACGTGGAACTGTTCAGCAACTGATTGACCAAATTACCTACTCCACAAGGCCTGGGGCACAGCTCTTTCTAGCAAGCGTGACGCCCGCTGTACTGTTTAAGCGCGTCCTTGGGCATGCCAATGCCCACCCATTGCACCCCTGAACTGGAATACGGAGCTACGGATTCGAAGGAATGTCGCATCCCGATCACAACTATGACACGCCACTGCCAATGCAATCCGCTGCAACACTGAATCGAAGAACACCTCCCCACGAAACAGCGGGGCAGAACGACAACGACGAAGCCCATGTGTGAACCAAAATTCACATCTGTTGCATCCGGAGACACACATGTGCGATGTGGAATCACGCTGCAGTGAATGTGGCCCCAGACGTGAACAACCGCAGGGATGCCCAAGCTAATTGGGCGGCCTCGGATTGAGCAGGCGCGCTGTGCCTCACGCAATTGCCGCGTACCTGCAAACGGCCAGCCTGAACTTAGTAAACATTCCGCGCGATGACATTAGAGCAAGCATTTGGCCTCGGGCTTGGGATCTGAGCTGGCGATGGGCGTAAACCAACTTCCAGACAATGTGGATCACTGCTAACAGATCTGCATGCAACGGCAAATTCGTGAACAATGCCTGAATGTATGTATTGTCGTGCCCGCGGTGGTGAACACATGCAATGTCACAATCCACAGCAGTAACAAAAGGCATCAAGCAGTCGCTGATAGCACGCCAGCGCCAATACCTTCAAATGAATTCGCCGCCGCACTGGTATTGAAGATCTTCCTTCGACACGACACCCAGTGCCTGCTGTAGCGACCACTTGTTGGTACCGCCCCAAGTAGCAATCAAGGCACACTCCAAGTAACGATGTTCGAAAGCAACGCCGAGACCGACCCACGAAACATGGATCACACTATCCAGAAATATTGTATCACAACTCCACCATGCGTTTGCCAAGGAACGCCCGCATCGAACGTGATCGCATCACCATAAACAACTAATCTGATGCGTAAGCGACATGACCGACATAACCGTCGGGACCCAAACCATGAACCATCGACATGTCGCATGGCAAAGAAGAGCCGTGCACGACGCGGGTACTCCTTATCGAAATGATGCTCTTGCTTCGCCAACACCACCTCCAAGATAGCTGGACTGAAAAGCCCACCGCTTGGTATTCCAACATGTTGGGTCAAGAAATAATCTTCAATTCGAAAGAAATACATCTCCAAACATGCATTGTTGAACATCTTCCGCTACAGCCCCAACGCGAAAACAAAACGGTCACGAACATCGAGTCCCACACGCCCCCTCGATGAGTCAGGTCGCTTCTGGTTGTGACAAGCTTTTGCAAGACGGCGTGGTGTGGATCATCAGCTGTTACATGGGGCAACAAACCAAGAAATAATTGCACATGCTCCACATCGATGGCCTCGTATGCTTGGCCGGCATCTGCACACACATTCTTGGACATGCCATCGGAACGTGGCACAACTTACACTACGAAACATGCGAAGCAAGACCTTGAAGTTGTTCATCGGCTCGTCGGACCTCATTAAAGGCGCTGTGCAAGCTAGGAACTGACCAGCCTGGCGAAAACTTGCGAACTATGTAACCAAGTGCTCTGCCTGCAAGCCTCCAGACACGCTTCCTAGGCATACGAGCGAAACTTATGATTTTCCTCACGTGGGAATGTCACGGCTCAGTGGACTTGTGTGCGGATGGTGACTGGTAGCATCAAGTGTATGGACTGTGCCAACACTTACGCTTCACGGTATGGTAAACATTCGGTATAGATGGCCATGACATTGGGAACCGCTTCGGAAACAAGTTCCAGGGACTCGAACTGTCAAGCCAAGGCCGGTACAACGCAGCTACCCGATGAGACGGTACAAAGCTGAAGGACCATGAATCCCATAATCTGACAATCGACCACATCCAGCGCATCATGGCGTGCAGAAGTGAGCAAGCCCAGAATGACTTGGGGTCTTTGTCTTCTGCCATCACTGCCACGCGTTTGCCACACCGCACAAAACCCTCGATACACTCAGAACATTGCTCGTCGTTGCGAGTCCTAGGCCTCGTGAAAAACGTGTGCCGTTTCATTGTACCTGGCCCAGGCGGTACACCCAGCACGCGCCACTGTCGATCCCAAAGCCTGCCCCCATGGTCACGCGTTGTCTGCTGCTCGCTACGATTTCGCCTGTGCAAGCACCTCCCGTGAAACGGTAGCCGAACCATGTCAATTCCTCGTGCACGGTACACATCAGGTCAACACGCATGAAAGAAACGACAGGTCGACGACATTCTAAGCTCAGCCCCGGCCTTCACAGGCCGCCCAGCATGTCGAATCATAAGGGCAGCAAGACACGGCATGGACACAGCAATGTGGCGCGCCATGTTCTGTACCCGCTGGATTGCTAGGTTTTTCTGCTCAGGCCCTGGCGCGATGATGGACCAATTACGAGGTACGGGTAGATGGGCCGTACGCAAGGTAGGGATCAAGCTAGTCCGGTAACGCATTTTATCAAACACATGTGGGATGGCAGGCTGCATGTCCCATAACTCATACAACATGTCGCTTGAATCTCCGAATATTGCAACATGTTGAACCAATCGAAGTTGTCTGAAAACTGATACGCGTGCTTGGTGAGCAAAGGTGGAACTGACATCGCATACAAGTAAGCAGCTCCAGCTACACAATCCTCCACGCGACACGGTCAAGATGACGTAGCACATGTTCTTCAATGTTCTTCAATGTTTGCATTTTTCTAAACCCTGGAAGCTGGTTCAAGAGGCGCGCGCACGGATGGCGATGCTCCCCAGGTGACTGCGCCCCGCGTCACACGGAAAAGGTTTCGAAACTGTATCAAAGCAATTTGGGCCCCGGCCGGGTTAACGTCACCGCGAAAACTGCCAGATCTGGGCGCCTCCACGCACGAGCATCTTGCGCGACGCCATAACAGCCCCGAGCTTCAGACGGCAACAACCGATCCAAAAACAATCTCAGTTGCTCGCCCGGCGTGGGTCGGCGTTGGATCCCCCCGGCGGCGCCGCTGACCACGCGGGCCCGGCCCTTTAAAAGGGAGGAGGAGGAAGAGGAGGGGGGGGAGGACGAGGAGGACAAGGGAGCAAGGAGGGCGGCAAGCAAGCAAGCAGGCGGCCGGCAGACGGGGGGGACACACGGCCGCGGGGCGTGAGCCACGAGGCCCCGCTAGTCAGGCGCGCTTGCGGGGGTCGGGGCGGGGCGCGCTGCGGCGCCAAGCAAACCGGGCGGGCGGGGGCGGGAGAGGGGCGGTCGTCGCCCCGTCGCGCGTCAGGCAAAGCCGCCGACGCCGCTGGGGCCGCCGCCGGGGCCGCCGCTGGTGCTGGGCCAGCGTTCGTTCCAGGCGCGGCGCCGGCCTCCGGGACAGCACCGGGGTGCCCGCGCTTCTCGGCCACGGCCGCGCCCGCTGGATCTGGGTCGACCGCGTCGTCCTCGTCCACGGCCAGCGGCGTGCACGCGTGCGCCATGCGGGCTGCGCGGCGCCAGATGCTGACGGCTATTCGGGTCTGCGCGTCGCGTGATTCCACATGGGTCATGTAGGTGTCCCTCCTTTGCTGCCCTTGTGTAAGAGCACGCTCGACAAGTACAAATAACAAGTGACTTAGAAACCGTCCACTGGATACCTGGGAGCGACTCCTGGTATCTACAGTTCGGCGCTTCACTTTCCTGTTGTCCCGTCTCCGTGGCGCAAGCCTATAGGAGCAAAGTGTATCTTTCCAACTGGCCGGAGCGAAATATAATTCGCTTGTGGATTAGGGAACTGAATATGCGAAGTCTCCACCACACTTGCGACAGCTGCAAGCGTCGAATCTACAAACATAATGTGGAGCTTCTCGCCGTCGCCCCTGCGAATACACGCATATCTTATAATTCAGAAAAATCACTGGGTGACGCACCTCGCCATAATCGAAGCCACATGCGGTAACGCTCCCGGAACCTACAACACGCTACCATAAGTTTGCACGAAGACCGCTGTAAACAATCACGTCCGATATAATTACTCCCCGGCTTCGGGGTGAAAGGGGGCCCCCTGGAAAATGAAAGCGGGCGTGAACGAGTGAAACCTCTGCTATCCTCCTCCTCCTCCTCCTCATTATGTTTCTCCGTCTTCTTCTCCTCCTCTTCCTCCTCCCCCTCCTCCTCCTCCTCCTCCTCCTCCTCATCCTCCTCTTCCTCCTCCTCTTCATTTCCCCTCCCTCCCCATCCGCCTTCATCCCCCCTTCCCCTCGCCCATCCCCCCACAGCGGCAAGGAAAAACAAAAGACAACCCAAGGAAATAACAGGTGTGCTGCAGAAAAATAACAAAAACCTAAGGAAAAACAAACAAAACAAAGAAACCAAAGGCTTGGAATTGAAAACTAAGCAAAGACCTAAGGAACAACCAAAAAAAACAAATCTGGCACCCTTCTCGGTGGAGCGTAGGGGTGGGCCTTCTCCTCCTCCTCCTCCTCCTCCTCCTCCTCTTCCTCCTCCTCTTCATTTCCCCTCCCTCCCCATCCGCCTTCATCCCCCCTTCCCCTCCTTCATCCTCCCACAGCGGCAAGGAACAACAAAAGAAAACCCAAGGAAACAACAGGTTTGTTGCAGAAAAATAACAAGAGCCTAAGGACACACCAAACAAAACAAAGAAGCCAAAGGCTTGGAATTGAAAACTAAGCAAAAGCCTGAGGAACAACAAAAACAACAAAAAACAAAACACAATCTGGCACCCTTCTCGGTGGAGCGTAGGGGTGGGCCGTCTCCTCCTCCTCCTCCTCCTCCTCCTCTTCATTTCCCCTCCCTCCCCATCCGCCTTCATCCCCCCTTCCCCTCCTCCATCATCCCACAGCGGCAAGGCACAACAAAAGAAAACCCAAGGAAACAACAGGTGTGTTGCAGAAAAATAACAAAAGCCTAAGGAACAACCAAACAAAAC